CGTGTGTGTGTGTGTGTGTGTGTGTGTGTGTGTGTGTGTGTGTGTGATTAGCTGTCAGCGTGGGGATTCTGCACAGAGATGTCTCAGCAATTGAAATGCTCAAGAGGGTTGAGATCAGGTGACTGACTTGGCCATTCAACAATATTCCAATTCTTTCCTTTAATAAACTCCTGTGTTGCTTAGGCTGTATGTTTTGGGTCATTGTCCATCTGTATTATGAAACCCAATCAATTTGACTCCATTTAGCTGGATGTGAGCAGACAGTATGTCTCTGAAAAACTCCGAATTCATTCGGCTGCTTCTGTCCTGTGTCAGACACTAGTGTCCCAGTGCCTTCGGCAGCCATGCACGGCCAAGCCATCATATTGCCTGGATATGCTTTGGATTGTGAGCTGTTCCATGCCCTCTCCATACTCTTTTCTTGACATCATTCTGTGCTTTTTAGATGTGTTTTAGTAAAATCTAATCTAGCCTTAAAGTTTATGAGTTGCTTGCACCTTCCAGTGAACCCTCTGTATTTACTTTCAAGCACTAATCTCTTTATGGTAGACTTGGATATTGATATGCCTCCTGGAGAGTGTTGTTCACTTGGTTGGCTGTTGTGAAGGGGTTTCTCTTCACCATGGAAATGATTCTGTGATCACCCACCACTGTTGTCTTCCATGGACATCCAGGTCTTTTTGTGTTGCCGAGTCACCAGTTCACCAGAGTGAAACCTATCTAATGGTAGCTGTGTTTGAAGTGAATGAGTCAGGTTGAAAACAACATCTGGTCCTCAGCAGGGATCATGGTGGAATGTTTTTGTTGAAAACCTTTTGTATGCATCTACATGTTTGTGCAGGTACATGCAATTATGTGGGTCTAATGTGCTTCATCAAGTCTGAATAGCTCAGAAACCTTCTGTAAGCCAATAATTGTTTGAAGCAAAGACTGCTTCTGTATGGGGTTCAGTCATGCTCTGTCTGTCTCGCCCTTTCTCTCTCTCTTGCCCCTCTCTGTTGTGAAACCTAAATATCTCTTTAAAGGGTTGCTTACGAACATAGGAATAATTGTTTTGGGGTTTTTTTCTATCGATTCTTCTATCGAGTCGCAGTTTTCAGTGAGTGTCCATCCCATCTGCCCCCTTCCCCATGTAGTTGTTAGTGTTTATGACACCAACTTCAGTTTATTGTTTAATGTGGTGATTTGTCCAGTGTGATGCAAACTGTGTGTGTTTTACACTGTTGGAATTACAGCTTTTAGAACACAAAACACAAAACAATACTGTCTATTCAAGCAATAAACTTATTTCCACTATGATCTGCCAATAAACTGTTTCCCAGTCTTTTAATTTTATTTATTAGGTTAATGGATGGTAACCTTTAATGTTTAAATGTAAATAGCCAGCAGGACTCCAAGCTCATTCTGTGTGGAAACAGAGTTACATGAACCACAAAACACCTACAGTGGCTTTCAAAAGTATTCGGTCCCCTTGAACTTTCCCACATTTTGTCACATTACAGCCACAAACATGCATCAGTTTTATTGGAATTCCACGTGAAAGACCAACACAAAGTGGTGTACACGTGAGAAGTGGAATGAAAATCATACATGATTCCAAACATTAAAAAAAAACAAAAAACTGAAAAGTGGGGTGTGCGTAATTATTCAGCCCCCTTTGGTCTGAGTGCAGTCAGTTGCCCATAGACATTGCCTGATCAGTGCTAATGACTAAATAGAGGGCACCTGTGTGTGATCTAATGTCAGTACAAATACAGCTGCCCTGTGACGGCCTCAGAGGTTGTCTAAGAGAATATTAGGAGCAACAACACCATGAAGTCCAAAGAACACACCAGACAGGTCAGGGATAAAGTTATTGAGAAATTTAAAGCAGGCTTAGGCTACAAAAAGATTTCCCAAGCCTTGAACATCCCACAGAGCACTGTTCAAGCGATCGTTCAGAAATGGAAGGAGTATGGCACAACTGTAAACCTACCAAGACAAGGCCGTCCACCTAAACTCACAGGCCGAACAAGGAGAGCGCTGATCAGAAATGCAGCCAAGAGGCCCACGGTGACTCTGGATGAGCTGCAGAGATCTACAGCTCAGGTGGGGGAATCTGTCTATAGGACAACTATTAGTCGTGCACTGCACAAAGTTGGCCTTTATGGAAGAGTGGCAAGAAGAAAGCCATTGTTAACAGAAAACCATAAGAAGTCCCGTTTGCAGTTTGCCACAAGCCATGTGGGGGACACAGCAAACATGTGGAAGAAGGTGCTCTGGTCAGATGAGACCAAAATGGAACTTTTTGCCCAAAATACAAAACGCTATGTGTGGCGGGAAACTAACACTGCACATCACTCTGAACACACCATACTGTCAAATATGGTGGTGACAGCATCATGCTCTGGGGGTGCTTCTCTTCAGCAGGGACAGGGAAGCTGGTCAGAGTTGATGGGAAGATGGATGGAGCCAAATACAGGGCAGTATTGGAAGAAAACCTCTTGGAGTCTGCAAAAGACTTGAGACTGGGCAGAGGTTCACCTTCCAGCAGGACAACGACCCTAAACATAAAGCCAGGGCAACAATGGAATGGTTTAAAACAAAACATATCCATGTGTTAGAACGGCCCAGTCAAAGTCCAGATCGAAATCCAATCGAGAACCTGTGGCAAGATCTGAAAACTGCTGTTCACAAACGCAAAAGGTGGTTCTATAAAGTATTGACTCAGGGGGCTGAATAATTACACACACCCCACTTTGCAGTTATTTATTTGTAAAAGATGTTTGGAATCATGTGTGATTTTTGTTCCACTTCTCACGTGTGCACCACTTTGTGTTGGTCTTTCACGTGGAATTCCAATAAAACTGATTCATGTTTGTGGCTGTAATGTGACAAAATGTGGGAAAGTTCAAGGGGGTCGAATACTTTTGCAAGCCACTGTATTTTTAGAGTGAGCATGCACAGACCCTGAAGGTGAAAGCCTAGCCTAATAGAAACTTCAGATAACTTCCGTCATGATACCCATTATCTCCAACTGGGCTTTTAGGTTTTGTCGAGCCACTTAAGGCAAAAAGACCCCTCTATTATACTGAGAAAGTTATGTTTACAATATGTTTAAATTCTACTGTATGTTTACAGTAAAAGCTAGCATCATATTTTATTGCCTAAAGTGGTGCAGTCATTTAGAAATCAATATAAAGAAGGTTACCATTTAAAACAAGAATATAAAAATAATAAACAACATGCAGGATTTGAAGCAGATTTCAAAATAGAAAGTGAAAATGTATACATTTTAATTTAAATGTACTGGAACTGCATTTGTCACCTGGTCATCGGAGATGGCTACTGTGTTCTTGAAGATGATCCACTCAACAATCTCGCTGCAAGGTGGCGTAGTCAGAGAGCCATTATAGATAAAGTATTTTTCAGTGGAGTTTGGCAGAAGACCTTGCAGGGTGAAGGGTGAAACCCTGGCACTCTTTCCTGGACAGTAAACAAGACAGCTTAAAAACACACAACACAAGAAAAGGTAAGAGAAAACACAAAAAACCACCTGCTGTACCATATCTGCTCACACTGTTGATGCCTTCTATTATAGCAGCGTAGTTCATGTTGTCTTCAGTGCTTATCTGTGAAAAGGAAAACATAATTACTTCAGATAAATCACACATATACATACAGGTTCCAAATGAATATCTTAAAATAGCTTTACTAACAAATATAACAACACTAATACCATTGGGAAAAAAACCAGAAAATAAACAGGACAGCCAGTATACTGTAAAACTGTAAGTTCCTATGGCTGAAACTTTGTAAGTTAACAAAGTAATAAAATATGAAGGAATAAATAAAACAAACAACGTACAACCCTTTCCTCTCAAAATTATAAACATAACACCATGTCATGGATTTTATGTTTTAGATATAGGTTCTGCTAAAGATATGTATGATCTTGCACTGTTAAATGCTCCATTTATTATTTTACCATAAAGTTAAGAAAAACAAAAGGAACACAAAGGGAATATTAAACAAGACTATAGGACATATTCAAAACCAGAACTTTCATGGTTACACTGCTTTCACCAACAAAGCGTTCACATTTTTGGAATTTTGAGAGAGAAAAAAAGAAAACGATGAGAAGAAGATTATTTATGACCCAGTTACTGCCAAAGTTGCTGGCAAGAAACAAAACTGGTAGTTAACTGGTAGTTTTTATGCCCAAGCTTTAGCTGGAAAGACACACAGATATTCCCTGCTGTTTCACATGAGGCATTCGTCTTTGATTTGTTCCAACCTGACCTTTCACAGTTCTAACATGCCAACATGGCCAGAGGCAACATGACTGCACAAAGCAGACTGCATGTTAAGAAAAAGTATTTACTATGCTCAGTATGAACCCTGACACTGAACATAAGCACACAGACAAGAACACAGCAATGATCATAAACCAACAATAAAAATAAACCTTCAGTCTAATGATTGAACATTACTATTCAATTCAGTGTTATTTATATAGTGGCAAATCACAACAACAATTTCCTCAAAGCATTTTGTATTGTAAGGTAAAGACCCTACAATAATACAAAGAATCAAACGACCCTCTGTGTGCAAAGCAAAGAAAACCCCAGCGGTCATATGACCCCCTATGAACAAGTGCTTTGGTGGAAGTGAGAAGGAAAAACTTCTCAACACAACTTTTAACAGTAAGAAACCTACAACAGATCCACGCTCAGGATGATCATCTGCTGTGACTGGATGGGGTTAGGGTAGGAAGACAGGACAAAGCCACGATACTACATACACTGGCAGTATCACTTTGAACATCTGTTTACCTGTTGTGAATTAAAAAGCCCCCAATCAGCTCTTTTCAACAGAGGAGTAGCGGCTCCATGCCAAGTTCCTCAATGATTGCAGTAACTTATTCAAGCTTAACTTTTATTTTATTTTAATTATTGTAATACCTTTCTTCTTCTATTGTCACGCATGCATTGAATAGCTTTTTGAATTTCAATGCTTTACTCTTTAAGCACACAAGTCATACAAACCTCTAAACCTGTTCTCAGCACATAACAATATGCCTTGTAGTGAACACATGCACACACCACAAACCTCAAATAGAACAGCGAGTGCTGTGATTCTGCCTCCAGCCTTGATGCTTTCATCCAAAGAATCAAATCGAAGTGGGTCATAACAGTATATTTGCATCTACAGGAGTAAACAGAAAAAAATAAACACCAACAAGTTGAGTCTATCAGTCCAGTGAGATTGTTTAATTCAGACACTGAATTTCTTTTTGTAAAGGTCCTTTTTAAAAATATGAAATGATTTTGTTTTAAATTAGGATGATATTTTATTGTTGCTTTATAAGAATTCTGGTTATAATGTTATATAATATTATAACATTATTTTTTATCATATTTAAGTAAATGTCTTGAGATGCATCATGTCAAGTAGTAAACAAAACAATACAAGAAATAATATAAAACTAAATTAAGTAGAGCAAATAAAATGAAAATAAAATTATAAAAATGGAACAAAGGTTGCAGAGGTAAAACAAAAAATAGTAAATAATACTAATTAATCTATCATTAAATAAAGACAGAACAAAACTGTGATGAAAACACAATAATAAAGACAGCTAATGATATTTAGGTTGATCTTAGAGTTTAACATAGCTGAATGCTTCATTTCTGGACAGAGCTGAACTTATAGATATAGTTTAAATTCTCCTGATCATAACAGATGAATTTGAGTCTGTAAGTAATATTTAACATTTAGGTCATTACCAAGCTCAACACTACTCACATAAGCTGACTCACCTCTAGAGGGTATTTGACACCATTCAGACTATGTTCTGACCCCTCTGAAGAAGCATTGCAGCACCCCCAGTGGAAAGTGATGCACCCCACCTTGACCTTTGACCTGAGACCTGCTCCACTGACATAGAAGTCACCATCCACATTGATGGTCACTAACAGAAAAGATATGTGAGAAAAAATGGCACGTGTGAGTTTTCTTTATTTTATAATTGCTATTAAAAAGCTACATTGAGACTAATGTATAAAGAGAGATGCCATTTGTACAACAGCTTGCATGACCCAAACTGGGTCGGGCAAAAGCATACTAGTAAGTCTACAACAGAATAGCGCTGTGCGATATGACCAAAATCTCATATCCCAATATAAGACATTTATTGTCATGACAACGATATATATGACAAAAATTTTACATTTTCTGTAAATTCTGTGAATCTTGGGCAACTCGACTTGCGTGAAGTGTTTTCAGGTGGGCGTCGTACACTTGGAGTTGAGTGTTTTGACTGATGCGTGAAACTGTACATTTTTAGACACAAGTTGTAACGGACAGAATTTTCTTTGTGATTATTTATTACACAGGAAAAGCCTGTTCTAACGTTTGAGTCTAAGGTTTCTTTTTAGCACATGATGGCTTTTTTTTTGGTTTTCATCCATAAACTCTCTCCATACTCTTTCACACTATTCTTGCGTAGGTGGTAGAAGAGGTTTGCCGTGTTTGAGTCTGAGGTGGGGACCGGTTTCATGCATAATTTGCATAGTACAGTTTTCTGGTCCGTGTCAGACTTTTCATAACCAAACCATGTCAATGCTACAGAGGGAGCCCCTCGTTTAGAAATAAGGTCTCGATTTGTTTTGAATGGTCCTTCTGCTTGTCATCATTTCAGTTTTTTTTGAAAATCTCAACAGGATCTTCAGCTTCATTGTGAAAGGTTTATGTGGAAAATAAACAAGCCAAAGGTGGAGCCACACGATGGGTTTACCATCATTGTTGCTAATGACAATGTGTAAAAACAGTCGCGTAGTGTGGATATTTTAAATATAAGAGAAAGAGAGAACTTTAAGAAATTAATATAGCCACCACAGTGACCATCAAAACGCTGAAAAAATATTCCCTTAAATTGTTATATTTTGCGACACCACGAAACAAAGGATAGCGTAATACGAAACCGATATATATCGTTATATCGAACAACCCTACAACAGAATGGCAAAAAGAAAAGAAACAAGATGTTGCAGTGGCAATGACTGTAGATCTGCTTCAAGTTTTTGATATCCCACATTTTTCAGTTTTATTCTTTGCCTACTGCATTGAAGACTCAACCACAACACAGTGAAAATGTCCTGAAAACAATGGATTAGAAACATACAGAATATCAAAAGATGATCTTCTCTATTTAATACTCTAGCAGCACCTGCACTCTACCATAAAACAGACCTGAATAAAAGTCGCCTTTTCTTTAACTTGCTAAAAAGATACGCTCAAGAATCGAAACTTACTTTGAATGGATCACAAAAGTGGTCATGTTTTCATCGTGTTGCCACGGTCATGTAATTATGGTTTTGTTGTGATAATACCTTATTTACTGTGAACTGATGATATTAAGCCTGTTTTAAGTCACCGATTATTGAACACATGAAGAAAAGTCCCTTTGATATGTTTTGGTAACTGTGATCTCTCTTTGTTTGCCTCCCTTTGTGCCATTTAATCCATGTAAGTTTAAGCCTGTTACGTTTTTTTGTCTTGGCAAAAATCTAATTTCCCCGTTAAGGTAAGGAAAATATTAGCTCAACCTGTTGCTAATTCATTCTTGTTGACTTGTACAAGTATACAGTTTTTTTTTCTTTTTATTAGCCTGTCCTAATTTTTTAAAAATTCACATTTTTATATCTAAATTTCAGCTTGTGGACTTAAGAAGTCAGAAATGAATGAATCTTTCAACCACAAAAAGACATTGTTCTGTTCAGTGATGGAAGTAAATAATTACTTTAAAAATGAGAATGTGCTTTACTATTTTCTACTTGTTTGTAAAAGACAATTTGAAATTTAATGGATAACAATAATTATAATGTAGCAATAAATATATAATTTTGAGCTTGCACATACAGGTGACCCTTACAGAAACCAAAAAATTATATAGTAGTTATAGTGCCAATCTCTTAATTTATAGGAGCTATGACTTAAAAATTACATTGGCTGGTGCTCTAATAAATGCTGTTAATATATTCCAAGATTTCAATTTTATTGTCTGAGGAGGGAAAAAAAATCAGTTGCTAGGCTCAAAAGGACTCCTCCACTGGCGATCATAATGTGTAAAATGTCTATTTTATTCCATACAGTAGTTGAGATATAAGTATATGTGAATATGTAGAACTGACCAAACTAGATCAAAATTCTCATTGTTCTAGAAAACAACAACAACAACAACAACAAAAAAAAAACAATCCAAAGCATTACTGTTATTACCAGTCTTGCCATCGTTCTTGATTGTTGTTCTGTTAGTTGTCAGATTCTCCCAGCCATCAAAGCTCAACTTCTGGTACTGTAGTTTCACCTGGGCCAGGTTCTGTTCTATGTTGATGGGAGACTGCTTGGCGTTGCTGCAGGATGGAAACTTCTTGGCCCAGTTGTTCTGGTTTAATGTTCCTGGAGTGTGTATATAGACAATTAGTGTTCAGATAAATCATTTTTGGGGTGGTGTAGATCTTGGTGGAAAGACAACCAAATAATAATCAAACCCAAAATAAATTTTAAAAAATAGTGAAAAGTGAAAGTTGTTACTTTCAATAATTTTCAGTTGAGTAGGTGACTCTCTCGAGTTCAGGGGTGTCACAAAAGTAAGGCCTGGGGCCCAGAATTGGCCCTGCCCACTGGACAGCTTCAAAAATGTGAAGGAGGGCATAGAGTTTAAACCTTTAATTAGATTTTCAGACATTTCAAGCTTTTTCTATTAATAAAGACCTCTTCCATGTCCATTCATACTACACCAAAGTAATTAACTTATAGATAAACATTTAAATGACAGAATAAATTCCTGTTTTCCTCCATCTAATATAGAAATGTCTACAAAAAAATACAATACAAACTCCAATACAAAAAAATTGACATTTTACCATTTTGTGAATTCATGTAAACTTTATACCTTATCATTAGAGTTAATCTGGGAAATGAATTACAATGACTTTTTCTGAAATTTGCAATATGATAACAAATCTTGCACTTAATAAGTAAAGAAGTTTTGTGGTTGATTAAATACGTGAAGCACTTCTCATTTCTCTGCTGATTTTTGTAGAAGTTAAGTTAAACCAGTGAGCGCACTGTTGGAAAAACAAAGATAAATGAATGGAGAAACAAAGTAAATGCAAATGCTTAAGCAGAGCTCAAGAGTTAAAATGTTTTTTCTTTAATATTACGTGAGCCACATGCTGCTATAGAACAGACAGTATACACATCTGTAACATTTCTGGACAAAAGCAGTGTTAAATGGCAAATGGACTCATTCTAATATAGCGCTTTTCTACTCTCTTGAAGCACTCAAAACGCTTCGCACAATACCTCATTCACCTCATTCACCCATTCACACAAGCACTTTTCTGTATGGTTTTACATAAGTGCTTTCTATCTGACATTCACACACATTACACATTACACATACTCTGATGGATGCTTCAGAGAGCAACTTGAGGTTCGAATCTTGCCCAAGGATATTTGGCATGCAGACTGGAGCAGCCAGGGATCAAACCACCAACCTTCTGACCCATTCTACCTCCTGAGCCACCCCAGTGTTCATCACCAGCATCATCAAAACATTGTATGATATAGAATCTTTTGGAAAAGAAGGGACTTCTATACACATTAGAGTTTCCCTGAGAAATCTGACCCTAAAAACTATGTCAGGGTGTTATTACACAACAGCAATGTGTTTTCTTGTTTTTGGTTTGCTCTGTGTCATCTGAGCAGTATGAAAAGATCTGGATAGACCACAGGGTGTAAAACCTTTGGTGATACTAGCTACTGTACATCAACTCAGATTAGCTCACCTTTACTTATAAAGCTAAGGTGCTTAACCACAGGGAAAATAGTACCAACTGGTAAATATTGGGTTGGAACTGGGGGAATATTGCTGCCAGCGGAACTGGTACAAAGTGGATAAAATGAAATAAAACAGTTCAAATGTGTTCAGTGTTTCAATAGGGCAATGATACACAACACAGATCAAAGCTGGTTGTGGAAAGGATAAAACAGACCGACATTTTTCCAAAGTGATTACCTCAAACCTGCCAAAACCAATAACTTTTAAAGTCAGCAGAAAAATTATGCTAAAAGCTTGTGTGCTTACCAAAGGTGTCTGGTCAAGGGACATTATGCTAAGGGACATTTAAACATAGATTAAACATACGCAAATGATGTGTACTTTATCCATATATACTAGTGCTGTCAACGTTAATCTCGTTAAAATGACGTTAATGCCATAACCGCATTAATGCGGCAAATCTCCGTTAGCAAGTTAGCGTGGATCGCCCCGTGCGTGGGGATGCAAGGTGTTTATGCACCGTGCACGTTTTACAAAAATTAAAAGAACACTTTTTAATCATAGTATAGCATCAAGTCGGTTAAACTTCTGTGATATTGAAGTTTAACTGACTTGTAACATTGATCTCGTCAGTTAAGTAGGACAGCGGTCTCCAACCTTTTTTGCGCCACGGACCGGTTTATGCCCGACAATATTTTCACGGACCGGCCTTTAAGGTGTCGCGGATACATACAACAAAATAAAACTAGTACCGGTACCGAAAAAAAAGAAGATTTATTCATAACACACATGAAAAGACCCAGGAAAACAGAGTTAACGATCAAAACGATAACAAAATAATGCTGAAAACCAATAAAAACCCTGAAAACCATACATTTCACACCTGAGCCTCAACTCTTGCGGCCCGGTACCAAACGACTCACGGACCGGTACCGGTCCGAGGCCCGGGGGTTGGGGACTGCTGAAGTAGCTGACCAGATTAGGTTGTTAATCAGTTTCAGACCAGTGTCTAATATAACTTTGTTCCTTTATGGCTTTGCTTAGCATAGAACTCACTAGAACATCCTTTTGCCACTGCTCAGTAACAAAAATAGTTATGAACCCCTAAATGAAACCCAGGAAGTGGTTACAGGAAGAGGGTGATAGATTGTCTGAAACAGTTAGAACAAGACAACACTAACTGGACATCATACCCAGGGCTATACCCAGGGGAATCTACACCAAGTCTGTATGGTTTACAGAAGATTGGTAAAAAGTGCACACCTTTAAAACCAATTGTCTGTATAATCAACTATGTCACCTATGACATCTTAAAATCTTTTGTCTTTGATTCTCAACCCCTTGGTAGGCAGCTCTGGATACCACATCCAGAACATTTTGGATTTTGTTGAGAAGGTGCGAGATGTCATTACAGGAGCAGATGAAACAATGGCCTTATATGATGTTACATGTGTCTTTATTTGTATTCCAGTCACGGAAGCGTTGGAGGTAGTTTGTAAGAGATTACAGGATGACCTCATCCTCTGCAACAGGACTACTCTCAGCATCGACCAAGTGTGTTTACCTTTGGAACTGTCTTCATTACGCATATTTTACATACAAGGGTCAGTACTACACACAGAAACATGGGTGTGCCATGGGCTCCCCAATTTCTCCCATTGTGGCCGACTTGTACATGGAAGAAATTGAAAAGATGGCTCTCATCCTACCCCGGAACATCACCAAGTCATTGTTTCAGGTTTGCGAATGTCAACTCTGTGGGAAGCCAGACAGAAGACTGAAAGTGATGCTTGTGATGTGTCAAAGGTGTAGGAATTATTGACAAAGTATTTACAGAACACCATTATATAAACTATTCTCTTCTTTGTATTTCCTGAACTTTATGACAATGTTAAAATGAGGGTTTTTTGCTTTTCTTATTAAGTGCTTGATGTTCCACAGCCACGCTTCATTTGTATTACATTGAAACTATCGCCACCTCTTAAAGATCGTGAAGCAAGAGCTTTCTACAGAGAAGAAGCAACACGCCATCTCAGCCAGTCTCTAAAACTTTCTTAGTGAATGCTATTGATGTGTTTTGTCTTTTAATACAATTAAATACGAAATATTTATAAAATATTTGGAATATACTGTATATATTCATTGATCCTGAGATTACTGTTCTGTTTATAAAAGTATGCAGTCCAGAGTATGTTACTAAAATGATTGTTAAGACATCTGCCCAATTTGTGACATCATTTTGAATTCATAACAAAGACCAACTTAAAAATATGGAGAAGTCATTTCCACTTTAGAGAATGATCGGAGAAGTCAGAACATGCTTGTTTAATTCATTTGTGTTTGCTCAGTCAGAGAAGCAGTTTTCAGCACAGTTCACGTTCATGAAAACTCCAACATCAGAATATCACTCCTTTTATCTTGGGGTAACTGTGAGAGCATTGTATTCTCCTCTTTGAAACAAATTTAGATCTTTTGTTGAAACTGACCCCTTTTTTTTTCAACAAAAACTGAATATCAAGTAGGAAACCTTCCATTTATCAATCTAACAGTTGTCTATCATTTATATAGCCACTATCAGAACCACTGTCCACAATAAAAATACAAAGATCCATGAGTACATCAGATGTCATCAAACTGATGTACTTATGTACTTAGTACTATGTACTCAGAAACCTGAGAAAAAAAGAGGAGCAAGAAAGGGAAGCATCGTGGAAGTATGTCTGCATAACTGACCCAGGTGATTGATATATGCATTTTTTTTCTTCTTTTTTTTTCTGCTCATTCTGTTGGTTTTTGTCTTTTGCCCTTCTCCCCCGTCCCTCTTCTCAGCTGTTTCTCTTTCCCTCTTTCTTTCTCCCCTTCTTTCCCAAAAAAAATAAATAAATTAAAAAAAAAAATCACAATTTGAAAAAAGAAAGACAAATTAGCTGGTAGACTTTTCATTTAAAACAAAGCACATTGATCTACTTTTGCCAATATTTCTCACTGATATTTGACAATAAATATTAACATGACTCTCTTCAAAAAAAAAAAAGAAAAAAAAGGAAATGAGATCGCACATAAGTATGAATCGAGATCGCTATTTTCTAACGATTAATCGTGCAGCTCTAATGGTGACAGAAGAAAAGTCAGTTTATCACCAGTTTTTCCTTTTTCCCCCCTTTCTTTTTTGGAAACATGAATCTTTCAAAACAAAAACTGGCAGTCTGATAGGCCCGTATTTGATCATTAAGAACACATAAAGTGAAGAAACCTCTCGCCTAAAAATCAAGTTTCAAGATTAATGTAACAGCAGCTAAAGGGCAATGCAGTCTGTATTGTTGGTAGTGATGTCCAGTACTGGGTGTGGAAGTCTTTTAGATTTATCTTTCTGCTCTTTGTTCCTTTACATGCCACTGAGACTCTTTATTTTAGCTAGAGCTTCTATACCTACCATACTCTTTTGGTGTTTGCTTAATGCATAACAGCATGAATAGGCTTGCCACAAACTTTAAACAAATAAAACAAATAAAATGTATTGCCAACTACTGCACAAGTAAGAGACAAAAACAAAATAAACCCCCCCCCCCCCAAAAAAAAACCAAACAAACAAAACAAAACAAAAAAAACAAACATACAAGACCTGGAGCACAAAGAATGTGAAAAAACACAGACACATAAATCAACAATTTTCCAATAGTATGTGTGTGAGAGAAAGGACAGCGTGAGAAGGAGATGGGGAGAGAGTGTATGAGTCAGGCATTCTCACACGCAGTCACTGTGTCTTTGTCACAAATGTACTTGATAATTAGGGTAACTGCAATGATGCCCCCCAGAAGCCTGAAGGCAGACAGCTCCCAAAAGTACACACGACCTGGTCACCATGTCCCACTTGGGCCAAGGCCCAGCAAGCCCCAGACCCAGACCCCACCATGCACACACACACGCTCATACACTTCGTTCACTCGCTCTCACCTACCAACTGATGACATACAGAGAGACAAAGACACGTGCAAACCCCCCCCCATGGTGTTGGTGAGCAGATGTCGCCCTAAACCACCACAAACTGCTTGTTGCCCCTGATCTGAGGCAGAGTGTGTGAAACAGGGGTGTAGGAAGATGTCCCCCTTCCTGCACCCCTGTGTGTAATTAAAAAAGGAGGACGGGGGGGGCATAAGGCGCATCCGTGTATTCATGAATATCCGTTACACAGGGGGCCCTTTCATGGCCTTACACACTAACCTACGCAATCCACGACACCCCTTCAAGACTACGTGTGTGAGTGATGTGTTGTATGAGGGAGTGTGGAGGAGGGAAGGATGGGACAGGTAAAACCAAGAGGTTGAGGACTACCCCCGGAAGGAGGGTAATCCTCTACCTCCTGTGGCTCAGTAGGCACCCCCATCTCCCACAACCTGCCATGGGTTAGGAAAAGGTTAGTCCAGGGCCAGCAATATCAATGCCCCAGAACACCACCGTGTTCGGGGTATCACCTATTCCCCCACCACAAAAAGTGGATTGGAGTTTGCAGACGAGTCCCAAGACTTCACCAAGCATCCACTCAGTTTCAAAAGACCCACACTAATAATATATATACTCAAGAGTCTTACCAAACAGCAGTGTACACAAACACATAACAAAATGAAGACCTCCCAAATCTGTTGACACCATGTTGCTCTACTAATTCAGGAACGTTCTGAATGCACAGAAGTTGCTTCAGCATTTTCGTTTTGTTACCTGTGATTGTTGACTCACCTGCGTACGACCAGTCAATGTCTTCTGAAAATTTGCGCTGATTCCTGTATCCATATCCTTCAGCTGCAAGACAGAAACAAATGGTCACCAACACATGTTCTACATAGAGTATTCAGTTTCTTTATCTATAAATAGTAGAACTATTTACATAAATTATTTAACATATCCAAGTTAACTACAATAACAGTGGGTATTTTATTTGGAGATTAAGTATTGGAATTTCAGGAGCGGGGCCACGCCTCCAAACACGCTCCTTCCGGTTGTCATCTATATAGGTTCGCCCAGTTCTGCAAGCTGTTGATTCTCGTTTACGTGCCCCACCCTACCTCCGAGTTTCAATTCTTTAACTTCTTCTCTTCTATTTAGTTCATGGGGATCTTTTTGTTTGTTTGTTTGTTTGTTTGTTTTTAAATATACAGATGTGACAGATTTGACTTGGGCAAGCAGTCTAAGTATATTCTGCAAGATATTTGAGTAATTATTCATTTTTAGCTTATTTTTTTTCATTAATGTATTTTCTCTCTATAGGCCAGGCTGCTGTGAAATGGACTCAAGCTCCACCATCATGGACTGCACCTCGTATCAGGAGTCTTTGCTCTACTTAAGAAAACTGTTACTTTGAGTTGAAGCGTCATTTTAACCAGAACCTTCAGGTGGTGGAGAACTTCATGGATATTATTAAAGTCCTACGGCTGAACAAGAGGTACTGCCACCAAATTAAATTCAAGCTGTTGAATGGAGCTCATTTGCAGGACAGGGCCTGATAATACTGCTCAGATATATCAGAAAATTTTTGTTGCCACAAATAAAAGGGCTGCTGCCCAAACATAACGCCAGTGTGTGCGTGTGTGTTCTGGGGTGTGTGTCACAGTGCCATTTTTTTGTTAGTGATAAAATTTTGCTACTTTTTTACCCCCATTTTTTTCTTAATAGGGCAGAGATGTGAGCATGAACTTGCTCTATAGTGTGTGGCATATTAATTCGGGAAGGTGGTGAGGTTTCTGGCTGTGCTGCAAGTGAGTAATTGCCAGTCAATGTAAATATTTTAGACAAATAAAAAAATCTTTGCTAAAGATGTAAGCATTTACTATTTGTGGATGAGAGGAAATAAACTTCAAATGGCAGACTTTTGCTGTACATTATACCTCTACAAAAAGATTTTCTTTGGCAAAAGTGGCAGTCTAATGACAGTCTGGTGTTATGCTCAAGCCAACATGGCACAGTCACAGACAGAAGCCGTGTTAAGATGGAGACACAAGCTAAAATGCTGCCGAGGTCTGGGGTGTGAGGTCTGTGCTGTCAGTAGGGCCAACCCTGACAGGAAATTGTGAGCTCTGTCTCTCTTAAGCTGGAAATGTCAGCCAGACAGTGTAAGTAAGCAGTTCTGACATGTAACACCTGTTTGCTCTGTAACCAGTATATCAACAAGAGCTTATTACAGTCTGTTCCTGTGTATGCAGATGTCTCTGTGCATACATGTATACACACTGGCGTCACACTCTCCCTAGCTAACAATCTGTCACGAAAGTGTTAAGAGCACTAAAGTTTTCATTTTAGATTAAATTTCAGGTTATCAAAGTTACACTCTAAGCTTAATTCCCAACAAGGCAAAGCTGGGAACCTAGGCCAATGACAAATAATTTGTCTGGATAATTTGATTACGCATACTTTATTTGTTGAGTTTGTAGATTTTTTTAACCTCTCAAATGATTCAAATATACTTTTAAAAATTCTCAGTTTTTGTGCCACTACATATCCACAAGGTTACAATTTCTACATAATAGAGGTTTAAAAAAAAACCCACAACAAAACAAATCATTCAAATTTCATCTTTTGTGTGGCTTGCAATCAGAAACTTAAAAACTTGGATTTTTGTAAAATAGACAATTAATAACTAGCATTTAATAACCTGGTACAAGTTCATGTTAGGGACATCTGTTTAAAAATAATCATAAAAAACAACCAATAATCAAAATGTTTGACAATTAATGTGAATAGAATTTAATCAAGAAATAATTATGCTCTCTAGCACTCTTCTTGTAAAATAATAAGACTTTTATTTGCAGTGCATATTAACAGGAACCCAACAACTAAATTGAAGTTTTAAAAGTCACATATACATCTATACACTTTCCCATATTTGCTTTAACTTTGTAATAGTCAAAGCTTGTAAACTCAAATTAAAAATGACAGTTGTCTCTGAATTTACAAACATATCTCAAAGCTGTGAGAATTTGTGCTCTTTTTAAGACATTTTAGCATGTTTAATAGATCAGAAGTAGCATCAGATTCCTTTTTAGTCTATGAGCATGCAAGAGAAAGATTTTTTTTGCAACCATGCCTCAAATTCATTTTTTAAATGGTAGTCTGGTATCACTTTTGCTCTAACTGAAAGCACAAAATAACCTTATTTTCCAAATTGATTGGGACAGGTGACTGGGATGGATGACATTATGCTAAGTTTGAGGTAATTAGCACATTTACAGTGCATGATGTTCAGGTTTTTTGACAAATCATATTTTCCTTTGTTAAGTAAACTCGGCAAGCAAAGCGCTTGGGAACCTCTGTGGAGGGAGCATAAAATGATGTCACACTACACAATGTGGCTAGTGTTTGTTGCGATGTTTGGAGAAAATATTCCTGAGGCCATCAATAATGAAGAAAAAAAGGTTTCTGTTATAGAGCAAAAGGGGATCAAGAGAGAAAAGCTGATTTTAGAAGAACAAAGAAGTGAACATGGGAGGGTGACTGAGTAGGAGAGATGTAATTCAGGTCTTGATGATTGGGGGTGGTGGGTTAACATGCTTACTGGAAAAGAGTGAAGGAGTAGAATAGATTCTATGGAGAATTCTTGCTCAGCGCCTGTACGAAATAGAAAAAGACCACAACTGTGTCACTGTGTTTATTCAGCAGAGAGTGGCCGACTCTGTGCTCCGGTCTGTGGGAGCCCCGCAGCCTCCAGCCAGAAGCTGAATAAGAGGATTAGCTAAACCCTGGGAGAGCCAGGACATCTACAGGCTGTGGGGTGAGAACTGGTGCTCATGCCAGAATGTGTAACAACCCCCTCCCCTCTACTTCCACCCGAATCCCTGACCCTCAGCTCTTGTTGCCAACGAGGATTTGAGCATGGTGGGGGTGGTATTAGTAATATTTTCATTGGATGAATTACTGCTAAAAATACAGGATGAATTATTTATTTCTATGAAAATCCAATGAAAGAAAAAACAACAGGAAAAAAATTAATTATTTCATACACACAGACACTAACAAACTCTGAATATGATCTCAAACCATTGTAAACGACTGATTACTATATAGCACTTTTTTAATCTACTCAAATAGTACTCAAAGCACTATGCAATACGCCTCATCTCAGTCACCTGTTCACACACATACATAGAAGCACCTTTTTCTACATCGAAGTTATTTATTGGGAACCAAGCCCCAGTGCATTTGTTGAAGGCACTGAATACCATCATAAAGTATGCCGATGACACCACCATGGTTCGGCTCATCTCTGATGGAGATGAGACAGCGTACAGGGCGGAGGTAGAGAACTTGTTCCACTGGTGCTCAGAAAACAACCTGAAGCTGAACGTCCTTAAAACAAAGAATTCCTAATGGACTTCAGGTCTCACCTTGACGGACAACACCAACGTCTTGGTAAAGAAGGACCAGCAACAGCTGCACTTCCTTCGTGTCCTAAGGAAGAATAACCTTAATGAGAAGCTGCTGCTGGCCTTCTAATGTTTCTCAGTGGAGTGTGCTCTCCTACTGCCTGGGTATTTGGTATGGACAGGCCACTAATGAGAACAGGAAGACTGCACAGAGGGTAATTAACTCCTCCCAAGAAATAATTTGCTGCCCTCTGCTACCCCTGGAGACCTTCGTCAGGAAGGTCTCAGGAAAACCAGTGCCATCACAGGGACCCCTTGCACCCCGCTCACCACCTGTTGGACCTGCTGCCCAGAAATCCTGCCTCACCAATCTAAGCCATGGTCTGAGTAACCTTTATCACTCAGGCCACTCACACACTGACTCTTCGCGGACCAAGTCTTTCTTTGCACTGCCTCTGAGCACTTTGCAACTGTTTTGTTCTCCAATGTGTGCCTTTGTCTTATTTTTGTATTTTTTTCCTCTTGTTTTGTGTGTCTACACACATACATACACACATACATACACACATACATACACACATACATAAGATACAGTCGGTGTGGAGCACCTACAATTTCGTTGTACATGTACAATGACAAGTCCTATTCTATTCTAGAAGCCAGGAGGATAAACCAGCTGCTCCCCATTGAACCATCGAAGGTGTACACTCAGTGGCAGGGAAACTATAACAAACAAGGCTGGAGATGGAGCAATACTGGAGGACTATGTGGGAGAAGGATGTAACCCATAATAACAATGCTGGGTATCTGGTGGTGCTAAGAGCAACCATAGCAACCTCCCTGAACAAGCGTCAACAGTTGCAGATATCCAAAAAAGAATGAAGCATGAAGAGTTGGACAGCACCAGGCCCTGATATGAATCCCACTTACTGGCTAAAGAAGCTAACTAACTAACAATGATTGTCTGGCTGCACAAATTAACCTGCTGCTAATGAATGAGACATAACCAGAATGATTAACTGAAGGCCTGGCAGTCCTGCTTCCCTGGACCTCAAAAGAAGGAGTCCTATCCAACTGCTCTGTCTTGACTGCACTTCTGCGTAAGCGTGAACCAACCCTCAGTCAGAGTACGGTATTGACAAAACTGGTTATGGATACAGACTACAGAATAGAGCAATCGTGAACTGAATCCCTTTTTTAAAGAGAGATTATCCCCTTTTCTATTAGTACTGACTCGGATTGACTCGTCACGGTTCACCACGGTTTTCCATTAGGTCATAGTAACTGGTACCAGGCACTTTTCAGTACCTGCTCAGCTAGGGTTCCAATTGATCAAAACAGGTACTAAAATGTGACATCATCAGACTGCATGCCACCAACTGGTGTGTCGCAGTCGTGTCAATAGTAATTACGTCGCAGGACGTGCAGATTCACTGCAATGACAAC